GGTCTGATCTCAGGCTACTGGAATTAGTGAAATTTATAATTTTGTGGTTACTGAGTCAATAGTTTATGTGCAGGGGATGTTGATAACGCGGGGATAAATAGGAGTCCAAGTGCATACCTATTAAACCCTCTAGAGGAAAGGGCTAAGTATCCTAAAGACATTGATACATTAATGACGATGTTAAAGTTTGTGGACAAAAACAGCGGCAAAAGCATCGGAGCATTTACCTGGTTCGCAACTCACGGCACCTCCATGTCCAACACCAATCAACTCATCAGCGGCGACAACAAGGGCGCCGCCGCACGCTTCTTCGAAGACTGGTTCGCCGCCAAAAACTCTTCTTCTAATTCCTATCCACCATCAAAATTGGAGGCCAGAGGCGCAGGCACAGGAGGACAATCATGCAATCAAACCACAAGCCAAGGATTTAAGGTTAGGAAGAACGACGGCACATTATTCGTCGGAGCCTTTTGCCAGTCAAACGTCGGAGATGTCAGCCCCAATGTCGCCGGTGCTGTTTGCATCGACACTGGATTGCCATGCGACTTTAACTACTCAACCTGCAACGGTAACAACCAGCTCTGCATTGCCCGTGGACCTGGGTACGTGGGTACATATATATATATAGCTGTTCTCATTTGATTTGTTCTTATATATTATGTAATGCATATAATAAATAGGTATCCAGATGAAATATCCAGTACGAGGATGATAGGGGAGAGACAGTTCCAGAAAGCAGTTGATCTGTTTACATCTGCAACAGATGAGCTGACGGGGAAGATTGATTATCGGCATGTTTATCTGAATTTTACAAACATTGAGGTTGAGTTAGAGGGCAACAAGGTTGTCAGAACATGCCCGGCGGCAATGGGTCCCGGTTTCGCCGCCGGAACTACTGATGGACCTGGTCTTAAAGATTTCCAGCAGGGAAACAACACGGTAAGATTTTTACTTCTAGTATTCAATTCTTTAATTACGTTATTCATAAGATTTTTTTAAAATTTTATTAACAATCATTGGATCTTGGTTTGGTTTCAGATTAGTGAGACATGGATCGCTCTACGAAATGCGATTCAAAAACCAAGCGATTACCAAGTGGAATGCCAAAAGCCCAAGGAAGTTTTGCTCACCACCGGCGAAATGTTTTGGCCGTGGCAATGGGCGGTAAGTCAAGAATTTATGATTATAATAGTCTAACAACTCACTGTTCTGAGTGAAAAATTAGAGATGATATATTCGAATTACTCGACTGGCCACCTAGGAGGCGCTTAGACGCCTGACTAGCGTCTAGTGCCTTCTGCAACATTGGATTTTGTCATTGATTACGTATCTTCAACTTTGGGCTTTTCTTGTGGTTGCTGCAGCCTGCAATCCTTCCAATTCAAATACTCAAGATTGGGAAACTGGTGATTTTATCGGTACCAGGAGGTTGGTTGTTTTCCATTCTTAGCTAGTGTTTTACATGACAGAAATTAAGTAGGCCAGGAGACTAATTAACGTTTGGGAACATGCATGACAGAGTTTACTACAATGGCTGGGCGGAGATTGAGGGAAGCAGTGAAGGAGACACTGATAAGCAATGGAAATGGGGAATACAATAACGACACCCATGTTCTCATTGCTGGCCTAACCAACACCTACTCTCAATACGTTGCCACTTTCGAAGAATACAACCAACAGCGCTACGAGGTAACAACACATTTAATTATATGCTAATTTATAGCTAGTTGTCTTATTCAACATATTATGGGACAATTTCAACTAAGTTGGTCAAGTCGACTCTTAGCATAAACGGTCTATTAGTCTTTTTGGTGTGAACCCATTAACTATAAACAATATAGACTAGTTTACCTCCTTGTGGTCCTGTTGGGTGGAGGCCATGAAGGGTCAAGCTCAACCTCATGAGATGGTTAAGAGATTGTTAGGCGGAGACCTGAAGGGCAAGTCTAACACCCTATACTACCTCTTGAAAATGTGACAGTATATAACTCTAGACAAGTTTTTGTTATCCTAACAGATCTTTTGTCAACCAGAGTCACAAAGCAAAGCTGATTTTTGCTAGTTAGGGTCACAAAATTATGGTGCAATGTAAATTATGGTGTAGGGTGCATCAACATTGTACGGTCCACACACATTATCAGCATACATCCAAGAATTCAACAAGTTAGCCAAGGCATTAGCAACAGGGCAGAACATAACCGTGAAAGGCCCTTCACCGCCGGACCTTCTCTCAGTCCAGGTCAGCCTATTACCGCCTCCATCCGGCGACCATCTTCCCCCCGGAAAACACTTCGGCGACATAAAACAAGACGTCGTCCAGCCCCCCGGGGGATCATTCAAGAAAGGGGACCGAGTGAACGCCACATTCTGGAGCGCCAACCCGAGAAACGATCTGTTAACTGAAGGCACATACGCGGTGGTAGAAACGATGAAAGGCCAGCAGTGGGTGGCTGCATATGATGATGATGATTTCTCACTGTTCTTCAAGTGGAAGGAGGAAAGTGTTGGCAGTTTGGGTAGCTCTGCAACTATAGAGTGGGAAATACCAGAAGGGGTTAGCCCTGGGGTTTACAGGTTAAGGCATTTTGGATCATCCAAGATTGCATCAGAATCACCCAACTCCTACTTCACTGGTGTTTCCACTGCTTTCACAGTATCCTAACATCTCTCTTCTGGTCTCTTTCAAAGCTTACATAAATAAAAGATGGTTTTCAGCTTATATATTGTGGCCAAGAGTCCTCCAAAAACATATAAATATGGCCACTCAAACATTAACAAGATTTTAGTACAAATCATTTTCAATTTCAAAGAGCCCTAGAACATCTAGAAAGGTAATACAACTCTAACTCAAGCTCCTAAACTAATTACTCATGATTCATATGAGCAAATAGCATAAAAATACAAGGTTAAAGCAAAAACATTGCAAAGGAAACGTATAAAAGGGAATAACTCTTTGTTTTGATAACTTACTACAAAGAAAATCTACTAATAATTGAATTAAATTTTATTTCTAAACCAATAGTATTAAATGAATTTATTGTAATTATGAAATGCTTAATAAATATTAAAAAGGTAAAATAAAAATTAACTTAATTTATCTCTACATGAGTATTAACGCTAATTTATAAAGTTCATAATATACTCTGACAAAATGAGAAACTTCATTATTAAAAATAAAAGCATCGCTTGTTCAAAAAATAAGAATAAAAATAAAAGCCTGCTACTGACTCTATTACATTGTAGTATCTGTTCATACAGAGTCAACAATGTCTCCATTGAAATTTAATCTCATGACCTCTCCACATGCATAAGAGAGGTCACTACATGTCATCTAAGCACAAGGTGTTTGGCAGGTTAAGAAAAATTAGTTTGCTTTAATATATTATTGTATTACAGTATGTATTATTATATTATTGTAATGATGTAATGATATGCCATAAATACTGTATTTTATTGCACTTAACTGTCTAACATGTTTGACTGGTGAGTGGTTGGGTGCATCAATGTCAACCCTCATCCATTGGTTGATTCACTCATTAAAAATTAAATTTTAATTATACTTTTAAGAATATATACAATTATTGTACTCAAATAGAGTTAATACCCAAAATAGTCCCTCGACTATGTCGTAATTACCAATTTGGTCCTCGACTATCATTCTTACCCAATTAAGTCCTCAACTATACAATTTTTACCCAATTTAGTCCTTTGTCAATTTGACTGTTTGTTGACTGTCAAAAGTGAAAATAAAGTTGTAATTTTATAAGTTTTCTCCTTCCTCCTCATTTAGCAGCGCCAAACCATGTAGCAACACACTCCAATCAGATTTCGATCGTCAAAAAATCGTTGGAAATCAAATTCATAGGCTATCCGATGCATAACCACTACTTCGATACTGACAGGTTTTATCCCAACTTTTGACAGTCAACAATCAGTCAAATTAATACAGAGGACTAAATTGGGTAAGAATTGTATAGTTGAGGACTAAATTGGGTAAGAATTGTATAGTTGAGGACTTAATTGAGTAAAAGTTACATAGTTGAGGACTTAATTGGGTAAGAATGGTAGTTGAGGACCAAATTGGTAATTATGGCATAATCGAGGGACCATTTTGGGTATTAACTCACTCAAATATATATATATATATATATATATATATATATATATATATATATATATATATATATATTAGATTATATTTCAAAATAGTTATTACATTGCAAATTTAATAAAATTTAAAATAAATCATTTATAATTAAATCTATATTAAATTATTTTGCAATATGTTTTTCAATGCACATTTCTTTGTACGGTTGAAAGAATGAAAATATACATGCATGTTTTAAAAGACTATTATTGATTATTTCTTGAAAATTCCTATTCACAACATAACATAATAGTAATTGTTTTCTCATATACATATACAACACAATTGTTACATTATTATGCATTTTAAATTAAATATAAAATTTATCACATAACTACAAATCTGCATAATTAACCAAGCAAATGCACCTTGATGCCCATTATTTAGAATTAAACAAAACAACTATTTAAGATAAATAATAGAATATAAAACAAAAATTAAAAATATACATAGATTTTATTAATGACAAATAATCTTGTTATATCGTATATGCCGCATATATGTATGGTTATTGAGAGAGAAACTAATAAGTAGGTTAATGGGGTTTAATTTGAATGTGAGTCAACAATATAGGAAAGACATAATTTGAAATGAGAAAGAACTAGTTGAGAAGATACAAAAGTTTATAACTTAATCTGTAAAATTAATTTAAGTGAAAGGGAGGCAAAATATTTTAAAAGAACAACAACAATTTTAAAATTCAATATAATATTTTTAAAAAATTTTAAAATATATATAATATAAAATAAATAAAATTGGGGGAGGACGGCCAAGGCCCCCATGGAATACACATGCCTCCGCCACAGGCAGCTAGAATTAATTTGTGGCGGGACCCATTTTCTGCAAAAACCTCGTATGCAGGAGCAACTTTCATTCACTCACTTGCCTCTATCTCTTTCAAGTTGGCATTTTTTTTCTTAAAATCTGTGAATAATCCCAATGGGGATGCTCTAAGAGAAGAATTTAGAGCAAAGATTCCCAATTTACTGAATAATCTTCTTAATTGTCAAATAAAGATGGCTGCCGAATGTTGTGTACACCATTCCACCCAAGCTCCTCTTCTGTAGGTATGAATATCTCTCCATCTATTCATCTCTGTAAAAGGATAACTCCGTAGAGCAATCTTGTTTTGTGATACTGGGGATTCTTCTTTCTTTTTTGTAAGGATTTTCAGTGCTGACCAATTGAAGTTATTGTAAAGATGAATTGCAGAGTGCTTCAAGTTTGTATAATTTCCATTTTCTGTGTCCCTTTTGGTAGATGGTTGCTATCATATTAAAAATCAATGTATTTGGCTCACAAAGTATTGAACTTTACAGATATATGACCTATTGCACAACTTTTAAAAAGCAGAATCTTATGTGTATACGAGGAATCCGTATAACAAACTAAGAAGTCGAAAGTACAGAAAACATATAAGATTTGGTCACTTTTGACTATTAGAATCTTTCTCTTTTTAGTACAGAAATGTGAATCCATTAGTTTTGAATGTTTCCACTGCATTTGGTTTTTGTGATTATCCATCCAATTTAATTGACTGTTTAATTTACTCTTTTATCATCTTTGAATTTTCTCAATTTATTAATAAAATCCTCACTAGTAAATTGAGATATGATGATGGGATTAACAGTTTCTCTTCTCAGTTCTTGAAACCGAGCAAAAATTGCGCTAGAGACTAGAGAGGGAGAAGTGTGTGTGGCTGTGCGTGTTGTATTTAGTTCTTGAAATGGATTCAAAAGCAGAAAAACAAGCGCCAATTGGGAAAACAGCTGGGAAGCCGATTAGATGCAGAGGTATACTTTTGCGACATTTTATTACTTTGGTTACTGTTTCACCGTTATAATCGTTGGTTGTTTGGTTTCATTGAATGCGGTGCAGCTGCAGTGGCAAGGAAAGCTGGGGAGCCACTGGTGATAGAGGAGGTGATAGTGGCCCCACCAAAATCTCATGAAGTTCGCGTTAAGATTATTTGCACTTCTCTCTGTCACAGTGATGTTTTCTTCTGGAAACTACAAGTAAACATTATGGCTCGTTTATCGTTTACAGTTTTTCTTATAAAGGCAGCTTTCTAATCTGTTTTGTTTTGTTCTTTTTCCTTTTTGTGTGTGTTTTTTCTGATTTCTTGCTCAAGCAATTCCCAGGTTGTTTTCCAAGAATCTTGGGCCACGAAGCTTTTGGGTATTCTCAGTTTCTTCAAAGATTCACTTTTGTGATTGTTTGCATAGTTTGATATGTTAAAGCATCAAACTTTATTAATGGTTGCTTCTACTATTCTAATTCTTCAATATGTACTAAATTTAGGGTTATAGAGAGTGTAGGAGAAGATGTTGAGGATTTTAAGGAAGGCGATTCAGTAGTTCCAATATTTTTGCCAGACTGCACAGAATGCTTAGACTGCAAATCCAAGAAAAGCAATCTGTGCACGAAATTTCCATTTAGGGTCACTCCTCTTCTGCATAGAGATGAAACAAGCCGATTCACCGACCTCAAAGGAGAGGCTTTGCACCATTTCCTGTTTATATCAAGCTTCAGCGAGTACACTGTTATCGACATTGCTAATGTCACAAAGATTGATCCTAGCATCCCCCCCAACCGGGCTTGCCTCCTAAGCTGTGGAGTGTCAACTGGTATGCCCCACAGATTATTTTTGGTTTTCACTTAAAGAAACATTTACATTTAAGTCTTTGAATTGGAAGGTGAATTTGGAACAGTTTAGATGACTTTATTTCCACACGTTTTCTGTTCAGGAGTAGGCGCTGCAATCAGATCAGCGAATGTGGAACCGGGATCAACTGTTGCTATCTTTGGTTTGGGATCAATTGGATTAGCGGTATTCCTGCTGCATTTTGCTAAAACATGAATTTCAGTATGAGTTTCTCGAGGTGTCATAAGAATTATTTAGCAGGTTGCGGAGGGAGCCAGGCTTTGTGGCGCTGCAAGAATTATCGGTGTGGATATAAATCCAGATAAATTTGAGAGAGGTGAATACCCTTTCACTTTCTCCTCAGTTTTTTTATTATTGTGTGGTTTGATCTTCTTTCTGTTACACATCTAAATTAACATCGATTACTCCTCATTTCCTTCTTGTAGGTAAAACATTTGGGGTTTCCGACTTTGTCAATTCTTTGACTATTGGGAATAAATCAGTAAGCCAGGTAGTTTTTTCTGAATCAAAGCATAATTAAGCTGTCAATCCAAAACTGTACGTAGGCCAAAACCTATAGTTAGTAGTGAAGGCGTATTTGCTTATACCGCCACATTTTCGAGAGGCAGAGTGTTGGACTTGGCCCTTCAGGCCCCCGTCAAACAATCCCCTAGCCACCTGGTGCTGGACTTGGCCTATCACAGGCCTCCGCGCAACAAAAACTCATCTTTTGTTCACCTGAGCAGGTGATATGTGAGATGACTGGGGGCGGTGCAGACTATTGCTTTGAATGCGTCGGCCAGGCAACATTGGTGCAGGAAGCATACGCCAGCTGCCGGAAGGTTTTTCCCCTCCCTTAGCTTAGCTTAACGTTTTACATGTACGTTGATCGGTGAAATTTGGTTCTAATGTCTGGCATTCAAATATGAATTCAGGGTTGGGGCAAGACAGTGGTTTTAGGAGTTGATAAGCCCGGAGCGCAGCTGAGCTTGAACTCTTTCGAGGTTCTTCACAGTGGCAAAACCCTCATCGGGTCGCTGTTTGGAGGTCTCAAGCCAAAATCTGATATCCCCGTCCTTGCTAAGCGTTACTCAGATGGGGTAATTTAAGAAAATCTTTTGATCATAATAAATTCCATTTCTAGTAGACATTTTTGTTCTTACCATAAAACCAACAAGAGATCAGATTGTGTGATTTTGTTTAGTTCTATACTCCTCCTTGTTGAGCGTATAATATTATAAATAATAAACGTTTAGCCCAACTATCAGCTTAGCCTTTTAGTTGAAATGGAACACATCCAATCCTTCAATTATCCTAGTATTGATCCTCGTTTACGTGTGCAGGAACTAGAACTAGATAAATTTGTTACTCATGAAGTGGGTTTTGAAGACATCAACAAAGCTTTTGACTTGCTTATTCAAGGGAAAAGCTTAAGGTGTGTTATTTGGATGGATAAGTGATTCTTTCTATGCTATCAATCACTATGTGTATCTTACATTGCTCTTTATATGTAATTGCTATATATATTGTGTAAGTAACCCAAAACCATATTTATACCTATGTTTGTGTCTGTTGATTGGCATCGATCAATATCTCTTGCACTAGGTACACACCAAAAAGCTTTGGGGGAAGTTTTGGGTATCAAATTGTTTCGATATTACTTGATACAAACTCAAACTTTTTGTATTCATTCTTTTGTTTGCAAAAGATATTGATGCCGATCGGGTTAGTAATTGAACCTCTATAATTTGTATTGCTCTGTGTCATTGAATAAATTGAAACAATATGTTTATTACATGCATGGATGCAATATGCATACATATGCCAAGTTATATTTTGAATTGATATTTACTCTTTGGGTTGCATTTTACTAATTTTTACAGTAGTTAATAACATATTTTTTTGTTGGAAAAATAGTATTAAAATAACATTTTAAGTAGTTATTTTGTAGTACAATTATCGATGAGGTCCACTTCTGAAATGGGTCGGGTCAAAGTGGCTTCGAGTTCTTCGTAGTGAGACGAAGAGATTGATATATTGTACGTTCAAAACGGATAATGGGTGAATGAGATATTGATTCTCAAAGTAGACCCATTAAGTTGGAAAAATGAAGCAAAAAAGTGAAGCTTTTGTCCCACATTGGTTTGGGAAGAGGATTTGCCCCACTATTTATACAAGAGTTTTTAGAGGCTTATTGAATTGTATAGCATAGAAATTTTCTCTCGCGTACTGGGAGTGCAAATCAAATCCCAAATTGAGCTCGGAAAGGCTTGATCCAAGCTTAACGTTTCTAGTACTTTTGGGAGGTGAAAGGGTGTTTCGCCTGATTCGTACTTACCACTCTTCTTCATCTCCTTTCTTCTCCGATTTTGGGATTATGCTTTTAAGCAATAAATCCTTACTTCGTTTCCTTTTGGTTAGAATTATAATTTGAGGATTATAAATTCCATTTTGGTTGATATATATATTTTTCGTAGATATATATATATATATATATATATATATATATATATATATATATATATATATATATATATATATATATATATATATATATATATATATATATATATATATATATAGTAAATTCTACTTTTAGTCATCGACTATTGTGGCATTGCCACATTTAGTCCTACTCTTTTAATTTGGTCATATTATATCCTTGACTTTCATTTGATTGCCGTCATTAGTCCTCCGTTAAAATTTCCGTTAATATACCGTTAACAATAAGGTCTATAATGTAATTTCATATTTTTCCTCAAATCCAGGTAAAAACAAAAACAAAAAAAAAATTTTTTTTTTTTTTTTTTATTAAACTTCTCCCCCTCCCTCTCGTAACCCTCTTTGTACTACCAAATAGTATATTTGTTTCTTGGAGTATACCAAAAAGGAGGGTGCCAGTAAAGAGGGGTGGGGGGATAGATACTGCAGTTTCTCTTCAGCAAAGCCTATACAGCAAATCAAATTCCAACTTTCTACAAATTGAGAATATACTCAGTTTTGTCTTTGAGATCCCTTCGTCCAAAACAGTGTTGTGTATGTAGCAATAATCATTGAATAAATATACCAAATTTTCAAGTGCAGAAAGATTGATGATAAACTATACGGTTCGAGCTGAAGCCACCATTAAATGAATTTCTCAAGCAGAATCCCCACAGGCGAGATCCAGATCCTGCAACATATGAAATTACATTATTGACCTTATTGTTAACGGTAAATTAACGGAGGATCAATTATGGCAATCAAATAAAAGTCAATGATGTAATAAGGAAAAATTAAAAAAGTAGGACTAAACGTGGCAATGTCACAATAATCGAGGACTAAAAGTGGAGTTTGCTCTATATATATATATATATATATTTCGGATATATATATATCGAATAATATTTTATATACTTTCGTGTGTATATATAAATATTATTCTATGATATTAAATCGACTTTGATTCATTATTTTCAATATCTTTTCTAACTCAAATGTAAATCTTATTGCTCAGGAGAGTAGTCGAGTGAGTGCAACATGATTCTCTTATAAAGGTCACAAGTTCAAGACGATTTATTTCTCATGTGTAGATGAGTTGTGAGCTATTACACATGAACATTAGTGTACATCCAAAAAAAAAAAAAATTTATAAGACCATTAAGGTGGGAAATCATGCATGTGTTGTGCATGTGAGTTAGGTAGGAGAGTTTGCCGTGAGATGGGGATAAACTTACCAGATCAAGACATGGAGGCTGCATGGGGCGACGACTGGCATGCAAAGACTTAATTTAAATTCTTGTTCTTGTTACATTCATCTGTCGATTTTTACACATCAATCAAGTATTAAATCACAGTATAGAGTTAAAGATATCGTTTCATTGGGAATGACTCTTATACTGTTAGGAATTGATGCAAAGTGAAGTTAAACACGAGCTAAAACTATCATTTTAGAAATTAAAACGAGTTGAGTTGATATGATTAAATAACTAAAAAAATAACACAAGTAAAACAAAAAACCCGGATTTGGTAGATTCAAGAACAATGATGCCAAATATTATACGAAGGATTAGGGAATTAAATCAATGCATATGGTAAGTGAGATGTACATAAGTGGCCAAATACTACTCTTGTAGTTATTTGGACTAGCAACTTCGCCTTGAACTCCACCCTCATGGCAATTCAACCCAATCTTACACAAACAAGAATAGGTGTATACTCCCGTATTAGGTATCAAGTGTGTGAATGTGTGACTAGTGTACAAGCTCTACTATCGTAGCAACAAACACATACACTCCAAGTAAAGCATATAATTGGGATCCAACAATTATACACAATTTTACAACAAATCCTAAAATATCCAAATAATCACATTTATGCAATACAACTCAAATAGGCATCAATAGCAAGAAATCAAACCAAATCATAGTTCCAAAACACTTATCTATTCATAATATAACAATAGATACACAATATTAAAGAAGTAATTGAAAGCATAAATGAAAAGTAAAAGAAAGAGATGAATATATAAGAAAACTTCTATATTTAAGCCTTGAAATCCTAGATTGCAAAGTGGATCGTTATGCTGTGCATTTGTATGCACCATGCATGGTACATCCGGATGCAAAAACGACGTCGTTTTGACGTCTAATTTAAAAAAAATAAAAATCAGAATTGCATAACTACGCATCCATAATTTCATCACATTCATAATTTCATAACTATACATCCAGAATTACATAACTACACATCCATAATTTCATAACTATAAATCCAGAATTGCATAAGTACACATTCATAACTATACATCCAGAATTGCATAACTACACATTCATAACTTCATAACTATAAATCCAGAATTGCATAACTACATATCCATAACTTCATAACTACACATCCAGAATTGCATAACTATACATCCAGAATTTCATAACTAAAAATTCAGAATGAATGAACTAAAAATGAATAACATAATGTTGTTGCTGGGAATCAAAACTGTTTTTTTTTTTTTTTTTTTAAGTAGGACGTGCATTTTGATGCAAAACGACGTCGTTTTTGCATCCGTCCGTATGCACCATGCATGGTGCATACGGATGCACATCATAATTTGCCTTGCAAAGTGTCTTGAGCTTAGAAATGGAGAGAAACAAGTAATCTATGTTATTCTAGAGATAACCCTAATGAGAGAAATTAAAGAAAGGGAAATGAAAGTTATGTTCTTTGGTGGAAGAAATCTCTGATGGGTACCCAACATGGGTACCTGGTCAGTACCACCTAGTAAGTGTTCGGGCATGTACTCGGACTCGACAGTCAACACTCAGAACGCGATCAGTCATCTTAGCCCCCAAATTATACTCCCATAACCTCCGATTAATTACCCATAAATTTCATTATTATCCATTTATTACCCATAAATCCCCATTATTACTCATTTATCACCCATTTCAATTCCCTACCATAAAAAGGCCTTAGAACAAAGAAGAGAGCCAACCAACATCCTTTCGGAGAACACAACTATACATGTATAAAATAGTGAATTTTGGTTTGACGCCATCCTATTGGAAGTGGTTACATGCTGAAGGTGAATGGGTGAATGGAAGACTTCATTGATTAACACAGTGAGTACAGAATGAGGTGACAACAGAATGTGGAAAACTGAGATACAAAAGGTGGTGAAGAGAGCTACAATATAAACAGATAAAACGGAGAGAAAACTGTTGGAACTAACTCTCAAGAAACAAATACCATATTGCCCTCACACTATATTGCTTCTTCTTCTTTATTGGACGCTGGTGCCTGGTGCCTTTTGTTGCTCTAACACCCCCCCGTAAGCTGGAGCGTGTAGATCCTGCACGGCCAGCTTAGATACAAAAGGATTGTTGATACCAACTTCAATAGATTTTGCATCATCAAATTTGTTTTTCCTTTTCTTGCTACTCTTTGCAGACTCAGCACCATTTTCATCAAATATCTGTATCCCAGAAAACTCAATAGAGCTCAATCCATTATTTTTCAGATACGCTTCATTCTTCATGTCTGCCATACTACCTTCTGCAGAGACAAAATCAGCCTCTTTAACCACCTTTTCAATAAGAATCTCATTGTTTTCTTGTTTCAGTGGCAAATTCTCATGCTGAAGATTGGAAATCTCCTGATAAGCCGATTGTGACAAGAGCTTCTGGATTTTTCTATCAATTGCTTCGTCACTTCTTTCAGAAGTTAGCATCTCAATTTCCTTCTCAATTCTAGCAAGCTCTTCTTTTGCAGCAACCATAACATTGCTCCCTACATAATTTCCAAAACTCTGCTCAATTAATTTCCTTGCTTCTTCCAAAGTCCGTCCTCCTCGTGAGATTTTCAGCTCATCTGCTAGAAGATTTAACACCATGCCATAGGAAGCAGTAAATTGTGAGACAAGGGGTTGAAGTCCAGAAAATATTAGTTTGCAGCACTCTTCAGGACCTTCATATGGAGTCTGAACAAGAACTACATGACCCAATAAATTCTCCGGCTTGAGGTCTCTGTGGAACACACCTCTACTATGACAGTAGTCGACAGCATTAATCAGCCGCTGAAAATATTTCCTTGCTTCATCTTCTTTCAGCCTCCGGTAGCGCTCTCCAACCTCTCCTTCCAACTCCAATGAAATTTCATCAGAAATGTTGTGTTCTTCACCGAACTAACGTGACAAGTGGAAGCTATGTGAAGGACAATCGGCACCGATAGACTTCTCAAAGAATTGGCTGCCAGAATCGTACCACATTGACGGACTATAATCGGAGAAATCCAAATCGGAATTCTCTTGGAGAATATCCGACTGAAGCTCAGAGTATGCCAACGAGTGATCATCGAAAAACTCATCGTTC